AATAACAACACATCGTCTCACATCAATAACAACACATCGTCTCACATCGATAACACAAATCGTTTCATATCAATGGCAACACATCGTCTCACATCAATAACAACACATCGTCTCACATCGATAACACAAATCGTCTCATATCAATAACAACACATCGTCTCACATCAATAACACATCGTCTCACATCAATAACAACACATCGTCTCACACAAGCACGATTTCACGTATCAATGACACAGAACATGGTCAATGACTTATAAGTTTCTTTGGTTGATAAACATCTTATTCACACGAATCTTTGCCGATATTTTATTCTTTAGCCTACAGTGTAGATGTTTGACATCAAATCTTAAGATTTAAGACGAAAAAGGACAATAGTATCATAGTCTGGTTTTTTCCTTGTTGTTAAGTCTAATTTATCGTATTCCTTGTGATATAGCAGGTGAAAATAAGGATAGATAACACCAATTGAACATGTGTGTTGGTATACAATGTAAGATGTATTAGGTATCAATACATTCGGAGATACCTTAATATTTCTATCAACCAATGGTAGTAAATTCACAGTTTTCCGCATTAAGACCTGGAAATATTTATACAAAGAAACAGACATCCTGATAAAGTATAATGAAACGTACTAGGTTCATATACATGAAAACAGTATGTTTTTTGTTCCCACCTGGAGAGAATTTCACTAATCAAAATATACAATTTCCGCATTCTTATTGAATCAAGAAAAGTTGGTTTCTTCCCTTTTCCTTTTTCTTTAATCCTTAGGACCTTCACTTTGTGTGTGTGTATAATACCAAAGTACAAACCTATCTTTCTTGTATTGAGGTATTAAACGAATGCTCGACTTCCTATATATCGAAACGGTAATTACCCTCTCAAAACCGCATGTTCTTTTGTGGAGGCCTGATCCTAAGGAATAACTACATCATATTACAGTATATATCACATCTACATCGTTTATGGTGGTTACGAGCACATTTCTACCCTTGATAAACGAGATTTATGTTATTTTGTTATCTTTTCCTTTTCATATTTTCCCTCTGCCATTTTATATATTATCTCTCTCTTTTTTCGGATATATCCTACTTTTGTTGTTATCTCCCTTTCTTGTTAACCTCTCTACAACTCCTGTTGTTATCATCCTTTTTTGTTAGCCTCTCTCCTTCTCTTGTTGTTATCTCCCTTTCTTGTTAACCTCTCTACTACTCTTGTTGTTATCTCTCTTTCTTGTTAACCTCTCTACTACTCCTGTTGTTATCTCCCTTTTTTGTTAACCTCTATACTACTCCTGTTGTTATCTCCCTTTTGTTAAACTCTTTACTACTCCTGTTGTTATCTCCCTTTTTGTTAACCTCTTTACTGCTCTTGTTATCTCCCTTTTTTGTTAACCTCTTTACTACTCCTGTTGTTATCTCCTTTTTTTGTTAACCTCTTTACTACTCCTGTTGTTATCACTCTTTTTTGTTAACCTCTTTACTACTCCTGTTGTTATCTCCCTTTTTTGTTAACCTCTTTACTACTCCTGTTGTTATCTCCCTTTTTTGTTAACCTCTTTACTACTCCTGTTGTTATCTCCCTTTTTTGTTAACCTCTTTACTACTCCTGTTGTTATCTCTCTTTTTTGTTAACCTCTTTACTACTCCTGTTGTTATCTCTCTTTTTTGTTAACCTCTTTACTACTCCTGTTGTTATCTCCCTTTTTTGTTAACCTCTTTACTACTCCTGTTGTTATCTCTCTTTTTTGTTAACCTCTTTACTACTCCTGTTGTTATCTCTCTTTTTTGTTAACCTCTTTACTACTCCTGTTGTTATCTCTCTTTTTTGTTAACCTCTTTACTACTCCTGTTGTTATCTCTCTTTTTTGTTAACCTCTTTACTACTCCTGTTGTTATCTCTCTTTTTTGTTAACCTCTTTACTACTCCTGTTGTTATCTCTCTGTTATGTTAACCTCTTTACTACTCCTGTTGTTATCTCCCTTTTTTGTTAACCTATTTATTGCTCTTGTTGTTATCTCCCATTTTGTTAACCTCTCTCCTTCTCCTGTTGTTATCTCCCTTCTGTGTAAATATTGACCACACCTCTGTTGTTACATTCCCTCTTTGATAACCCCCCTCTCTCTCTCTCTCTTGGCCCCCTTCCTGTATCTCGATCCTTCTTTCTACCATTTGTTTGATAACTGTTATTTCTCTGTAAATATCTCCCCTTTTTATCTCTCTCCCATATTCTGTTACCTTCATTTTGTTTGATTCATGACTTTTCTCTGATAATATGTCCCTTTTTTATTGACCCACCTTCTGTTTCCGGAGTCCATTTTGTTTGCCTTCGCTCCAGTACCGGTTAACATCTTATTGTTTTACCATTGTCTTGTTTCTTTTTATATCTCTTTGGCCTTTCTCACATTCCTGTTACATCCGTATGCTTAATATCTCTCCTGCTTCTTCTATCTACCATTTGATTGATCCCTATTTTGTACCTGTTATCTCTCTTTTTGTTCCCGTCACTATCTTCAATATCTCTCCTTTTTAACCCCTGACCTGATTCTGTAGCGTCTGCATTCGTTTTCCCTACCCCCTGTTCCTGTTATCTCCCTTTGTTTGACCCTTGCTGCTGAGTTCATCCTTTTGTCGAACAACTATATATTCAATTATGTTTGACCTCTCCGCTGACCATCTTTTTTGTGATCTAACGCCTGTTTGAACCTTCTTCCTCCCTGGTGCTAAGTGGTCCCTTGTCGCCCTAACGATTTCCTTTGTGTTCTCCAAATAGAACTAGCAGAGGTCCCACAGTTACCATAAAACCCGCTCTTACGACGATAGCCCGAGGCATGAGCTGTCAAGTTGGTATTCAACAGTATCTCTGGCAAGATTCAGGGTGGTATAAGTATCCTGATGTTGTCGCGGGGATCATATAAAATTTCTTTAACTTTATTGATGAAGGACCATAACTTTCCCAGAAGGCAATGAACATTCAGCACCAGGATCACCATTACACATTAGGTGACTGCCCGGCTATCGATTTGTCAATAATTGATATTCTTCATTGATTGAGCCAACTCATAATGACCAATGTTCATACCATTTCTATATTCTGTATTCATTTAAATTTCAAAATGTGCCGGATATTCTGTACATAACGAACAACAGGGGTGAGCTTAAGTACCTGACATCTGGCAGTGTATTTCTGATTTTGAAAACATGTATAAAAAAGCTTGTATGTACTGATAGGAAAAGAGTCTCAATTGAAGATTTGTAAGTTAAAATTGGGTTTATAAGGCAGTCCAATACGGAAGAGTTGCCCTTCTCATCGCAGGCCTTTGTTTGATGGAAACTACGTGCATGGAACCATTCAACAAAAGTTCGCACATGTAGTTTTAAAACGTTTACCTTTTTCCACCCAATGAGATGGTTTTTTAATAAAACAATTCGTGAAGGCACTGAAAAAAGTGGGGTTACTGTAAATATAGCGGGTTTTGTTGTGCCAAATAAACAAAACCGCTGGGTTCGTTCAATGTTTAATCGATTGATCGATGTAACATAGACATTCTGAAACATACAATAAAATATAATCAAACACTCCAAAATATCACCTCATCGTCAGTTATAGCAGAACTACAAATAAAAGATAACCTCTTATTCAATTTACAGAATATTTCAAGCAAGAGATGCATTACGCTTATACATGCATAAAGTATAGGATTTACGAAAATTATAATACATATACATCGTTGATTCCAAATATTACCCTGAACGTTCAGTTAACGTTAAAACAATATTGCAACAATTATATTGTTCATACAAACACTCATCACTCACAGGGAGAATATATTAGAAGAAATACTTTAACTAGAAAGAAATAAAGTTAGAGAAAACTTACCATAAAGGCAAAACCCGAGGAACCTGACATTTGAACATCCGTCTAACCCGCAAGCTCGGATTCAAATGTACCCCGATATAGTAAAAGACAAAAGACGCATACCCAGGAGAAACTTTCAACCAAGCAAACAACTCCGTCAAAGTCCGTCAAATGTCTTTTGTCCAGTCGGTCAGTGAACACTAATCACGTACACCAGTACATACATATACACAACACAAAGGGACGCGCTCGCCAATATGTATAAACGTTACGCGCACAGGTAAAACGTGACACTAACGATGTGTTCGCGATGATAAATAATACACACATGTACATAACCAGTACATATGTATATATATAAACTACAATACAAAATATAGATACTACAGGAATCACTACCAATATATGAAATATTACCCTTTTACATAAAACTTCTTCATTTGGCGATAAAATTATTTTAGAGATTTTCCAGTTGAAAATAATGTGTTTAATTAGAATAGCGCCAATCGCTGTTTCTGAATATTGTTTGTGTAGCAATAACAATTTATTGGCAAATTCACCATTGCGAAATTTTTATCAAAAATTTGATAATACGTTAAAATCCTATGACTTCAAAGATATTCTATAGTAATGATTTGAGTTTTACTTACAGGCATAATTCCGATTTAAAAAGAAAATTTGTCTGGTATTAAAAGTCCAAACAGTGTGAAAACAATACCATGATGTTTAAAATCCGCGACATATTTGTTCTTCGTATTTGTAGGATGTCATGTACTGAAAGACTCGGAAAAAAATAATGATACATGGTACATATATCCTGTTAAGAATACATTACAAATTACTTTAGCGTAAGTTATTACATCGAAAAGATGAAACATTTTACGAAAATAAAATTGATTATACCAGTAATCTATTTGCTATTCGTATGTCATAAAATTCTTCCTAAGTAATATAAATCATTCATTATTGTATCGTTACCTGCTCTCAGTAAATGTAAACGAAATCCTTTCATCACATGATGTTGAAAACTATTGTTCTAAATCATATAAGAACGGGTTAGCAAGTTCGTTTTTGAACATCAAAAACTACGAAACTACAAAAATAGCTTTGTACTCTTCCAAAAGCACATGCGCAGATGCGTACGAACTGGATCAGACGTACACAATGTTTAACGGCTGAAGTAACTTGCGTAGTCGATCACTATGCCACCTGGTGGGAGCGTCTCTCATCCCTTTGGTAAGAAGAAACGCTTCGTTTCTTTATCTAATAAGACAAATGATCTATTCACTTATTTCTTCTCCTCTTTTATCTGTGACTTATGTTTGTAAATTAGGTATTTGCTAATAGCCGATGCAGGGGCTATATGCACTACCGGCTTGTAGACCGTGCCTTTTCTCAGCGGCCGAACACCACACACCTTGATCGCCTTGAGCTTTGCTTTTTCCTCGGCAATTTTATGAGAAATAAAATTCAAATGGAAAGCGTTTTAAAATATCGTAAAATCTATTAGATATGAAGATAATGTATGTTGAAAAAAATCAAAGAAAACGTAACAACAACAGTTAGTCCGGGGTTTGTTTTTCGCATCATGTTTGAAGTAAACAGACATTGCAATGCTTATGTAACGCCATTTTAAAGGCCATGGTGCATGTAATACAGAAATAATGATTATTCTACATACAACGAAGGTTCGTGCTCACAGATACCCGTATTAGTAAACACGTCTTGGAAATTCTACGGTAGCTCAGTTAGTAGAACATCGGACAAGCCTGTGTGAAAGATCGAGATGTATGGTTCAATCTTTCTCCGTTCAGTTAGTGTTTTGTTTTGATTGTTTGTTTGTTTTGATTTTTAAGCTTAGACCAAGATGCATCATGTGTACCCCTCCAATAGATCTAGATGAAATACGACGGACCTCCCGCATGAAGTTCAGTAAATACAAGCGAACTCCGCTTGAAAAATAACTTCTGAATTTTCATCAGACGATAAAACCAGAAAACGTCTTTGCAATGTCAACGACGGTCTGCATTTCTCCTGACAACATCTCTCTCCTTGCTGAGGAGCCATATAGTCTCCCACGTGTAGATCTCCATTCGCGAAATCCAACACAGATCATCGCGACAGTGGCAAACTAAGACGTCTCAACGGCAACACAGACCGTGACAGTAACAAAACAGGACATCACAACGGCAACACAGACCGTGACAGTAACAAAACAGGACATCACAACGGCAACACGACCGTGACAGTAACAAAACAGAACATCACAACGGCAACACAGACCGTGACAGTAACAAAACAGGACATCACAATGGCAACACATACCGTGACAGTAACAAAACAGGACATCACAACGGCAACACATACCGTGACAGTAACAAAACAGGACATCACAACGGCAACACAGACCGTGACAGTGGCAAAACAGGACATCACAACGGCAACACCGACCGTGACAGTAACAAAACAGGACATCACAACGGCAACACAGACCGTGACAGTAACAAAACAGGACATCACAACGGCAACACATACTGTGACAGTAACAAAACAGGACATCACAACGGCAACACATACCGTGACAGTAACAAAACAGGACATCACAACGGCAACACCGACCGTGACAGTAACAAAACAGGACATCACAACGGCAACACATACCGTGACAGTAACAAAACAGGACATCACAACGGCAACACAGACCGTGACAGTGGCAAAACAGGACATCACAACGGCAACACCGACCGTGACAGTAACAAAACAGGACATCACAACGGCAACACCGACCGTGACAGTAACAAAACAGGACATCACAACGGCAACACATACCGTGACAGTAACAAAACAGGACATCACAACGGCAACACATACCGTGACAGTAACAAAACAGGAAATCACAACGGCAACACCGACCGTGAAAGTAACAAAACAGGACATCACAACGGCAACACCGACCGTGACAGTAACAAAACAGGACATCACAACGGCAACACCGACCGTGTCAGTAACAAAACAGGACATCAAAACGGCAACACAGACCGTGACAGTAACAAAACAGGACATCACAACGGCAACACCGACCGTGACAGTAACAAAACAGGACATCACAACGGCAACACCGACCGTGACAGTAACAAAACAGGACATCAAAACGGCAACACAGACCGTGACAGTAACAAAACAGGACATCACAACGGCAACACCGACCGTGACAGTAACAAAACAGGACATCACAACGGCAACACCGACCGTGACAGTAACAAAACAGGACATCACAACGGCAACACAGATCATCACGACAGTGGCAAAATAAGACGTCAGAAAGGCAACACATACCGTGACAGTGGCAAAACAGGACATCACAACGGCAACACCGACCGTGACAGTAACAAAACAGGATATCACAACGGCAACACATACCGTGACAGTAACAAAACAGGACATCACAACGGCAACACAGACCGTGACAGTGGCAAAACAGGACATTACAACAGCAACACATACCGCGACAGTAACAAAACAGGACATCACAATGGCAACACATACCGTGACAGTAACAAAACAGGACATCACAACGGCAACACATACCGTGACAGTAACAAAACAGGACATCACAACGGCAACACAGACCGTGACAGTGGCAAAACAGGACATCACAACGGCAACACCGACCGTGACAGTAACAAAACAGGACATCACAACGGCAACACCGACCGTGACAGTAACAAAACAGGACATCACAACGGCAACACATACCGTGACAGTAACAAAACAGGACATCACAACGGCAACACATACCGTGACAGTAACAAAACAGGACATCACAACGGCAACACCGACCGTGACAGTAACAAAACAGGACATCACAACGGCAACACCGACCGTGACAGTAACAAAACAGGACATCACAACGGCAACACCGACCGTATCAGTAACAAAACAGGACATCAAAACGGCAACACATACCGTGACAGTAACAAAACAGGACATCACAACGGCAACACCGACCGTGACAGTAACAAAACAGGACATCACAACGGCAACACATACCGTGACAGTAACAAAACAGGACATCACAACGGCAACACAGACCGTGACAGTGGCAAAACAGGACATCACAACGGCAACACCGACCGTGACAGTAACAAAACAGGATATCACAACGGCAACACATACCGTGACAGTAACAAAACAGGACATCACAACGGCAACACAGACCGTGACAGTGGCAAAACAGGACATTACAACAGCAACACATACCGCGACAGTAACAAAACAGGACATCACAACGGCAACACAGACCGTGACAGTGGCAAAACAGGACATCACAATGGCAACACATACCGTGACAGTAACAAAACAGGACATCACAACGGCAACACATACCTTGACAGTAACAAAACAGGACATCACAACGGCAACACAGACCGTGACATTTAACAAAACAGGACATCACAACGGCAACACAGAACGTGACAGTGGCTAAACAAGACCTCACAAATGCTATACAGACCATGGCGTAGCAAAACAGGCGTGATAGTAGCAAAACTAGACGTCATAAAGGCAACACAGACCGTGGCAGTGGCTACATGTACACTGTACGTGACGTACATGACACGGACAATTTCAGATGTGACATTAACAACATTGGACCTGATAAGGACCGCACTGTGCGCGACAAGGACAAAGTGAGGCGTGACAGCGGCAAGGGCAAAGTTGGACGTGATGTGGGCAATTATATTCGTGACAATTACTTTACAGGACGAAACAGGTGCAGCACGAGGCAGTAAAAGAAGGCAATGCATGTCTTAATGATGAGACAATAATTGTTTGATCGTGAAACGACAAGCGACTTAGAAGAAAAGGAAACGTTTGATTTAACAGTTAGCTATATTGAATAAACCTTAAAGTATATAAACACCGTTATTTCTCTGGACTATAATAAATCCAAGTAACAGTGTGTTGTGCTGAGTGCACAAGGTTACAGCGAAATGTTCCACAACCCTACCATATAATTTGTCCATGAAACGAAATTCCGTCTCTGATCAGCTACTTGTGATGTCTTTGTTCCGGTCACAAATACTTTGACCTTCGACATTTAGCGTTGCTTAATTGTAACATATTGTCAATCACTCGTCATTAGCTAGATTTCACAGGCCACACTCTATTAGCTGGGACACCTCCTCTGGCATATGATATAAAGAAAAATTCACATCTTATTTTTTAGTAAATGGATATGTTTTGGCCCTTGCACTTGAGCACATGATAAAGACTATCGCCGTTTGTATCACCGAGTCTTTACCTCTCTTTCATAGGACTTAATAAAAGCCACCAAGGAACGTATGATATACCTATAAAAAAGACGTTTGGAATGAATTTTCCTGGGATAAGAGAAAATGGCTGCAGTGGATTTATATGGGGTAGTGTATTATGAACAATTAGTTAGACTTTCAACTAATATTATGTAGATATAGCATCTGTCTTGTGTTATTACTTCGTTCAAAGGGAACATCGTGGTTTCTCCCCAGGTCGGTCGCTGCTATAGAGAACAGACCAGCATGCAGCATGTATGTTAAATACAAGATAATGTCTATAACATCAGTTGAGCGAGTGCTGTTTTACCCTATCCCAGCCATACACCTTAAGCCAAACCGTAGCGGTGGTAATTGGGTGCGATTAATTGGAATGGTGAAAAGTCTACCCTGAAATACATTAGTTTCCAAAAAGCATATCGGCTCCCACAGGTTGTTAAATCTGGTCAGACTTTACCCTTGAAATAAACTTTAGTAGCAATTACAGTTGTGAAACAGTTGTTTGAGTCGTAGTTTACGATTTCCTTCCAATTTCCTGAGCTATCTTATCCTTGTATATGGAGTGTGGGCATCTCTGTTCCTGCCTGCTCTTGGTGATTATAAACAGTAAGATATATGTTTGAGGATATAGCTTAGTGCTATAATTCAGTTTAGAAGTTCATAGAATGAATAAAACTCTACGTTACCTTGGTTTCATGTAAATACTGTACAAAGGACACGCCTTTGATAAAAAATAGAATTATAACAGACAGTAGAACAAGATATGAAATAAATTATCATACAGCTGTTTCGTCCTTCTAGGGTCCGTCAGTGATGCTGTATCATACAGCTGTTTCGTCCATCTAGGGTCCGTCAGTGATACTGTATCATGCAGCTGTTTCGTCCATCTAGGACCCGTCAGTGATGCTGTATCATACAGCTGTTTCGTCCATCTAGGATCCGTCAGTGATGCTACATCATACAGCTGTTTCGTCCATCTAGGGTCCGTCAGTGATGCTACATCATACAGCTGTTTCGTCCATCTAGGGTCCGTCAGTGATGCTACATTATACAGCTGTTTCGTCCATATACGGTCCGTCAGTGATGCTGTATCATACAGCTGTTTCGTCCATCTAGGATCCGTCAGTGATGCTGTATCATACAGCTGTTTCGTCCTTCTATAATTCGTCAGTGATGCTGTATCATACAGCTGTTTCGTCCATCTAGGGTCCGTCAGTGATGCTGTATCATAGAGCTGTTTCGTCCATCTAGGATCCGTCAGTGATGCTGTATCGTACAGCTGTTTTATCCTTCTATAATTCGTCAGTGATGCTGTATCATACAGCTGTTTTGTACATCTATAATTCGTCAGTGATGCTGTATCATACAGCTGTTTTGTACATCTATAATTCGTCAGCGATGCTGTATCATGCAGCTGTTTCGTCCATCTAGGATCCGTCAGTGATGCTGTATCATACAGCTGTTTCGTCCATCTAGGATCCGTCAGTGATGCTACATCATACAGCTGTTTCGTCCATCTAGGATCATTCAGTTGTTTGACGATGTAACATACAACTATGTCGTCCTTCTAGGATGATTCGTCATTGATACTACGGGCTTAATTTATGAAACCTAAGAAAGAAAGCAAGGAGGCGACAGGTGAAAGTAAAAGAAAAAACACAGAACAAGTAAGAGGCGAAATGTTTACATAAAGTAAGGAACATATATCAATCTTTTTTTTTCAATATTTCTTAAAAATGAAAAAAAAATATTGCATTGTGACTCATTTGAAGATGACGAGACTTTTACTATCACTATCGTTTTCAACTAGCGAATTAGCATGCAGAATCAGCCAGTAGTAGTTGTCACATATGTCCACAAACTAAACTATTGAAATAAGAATAGGTAGATCTGATTAGCTATGTCTATCCACGAAATAGTGTTTTTTAAACCATGAAAATTCAGTCACACGAAAAATATGATTATTATTTGGGAAAGCTTTTCATCTAAGATTTTTGGAGAGAAAATAAGAACCACTTACTGCCGTCTACATTCGTATGAACTATATATACTATGTTAGTACATGTCTATACCAGTAAAGCGTTGATCAGCTTAAATGGTCTGAACGAATCTGCGAAAATATTCATCGAAGATGAAAACCGTTTTTTTTTAATTGATTAAGAGAAACATCAAATATAATTATTGGATAAATCATCTTTACTTGAATTTAATGTTCCGAATTAATATTTATCACAAGGTAATTAAGTAAGAATTAATACAGAAATTTGATCATATAATGTACATCTCTTTCTCTGTAAGTTTTGTTTACCCCTTGCTGACTGATAGGCAATTAAGGTCAAAGGTAAAAATAAATATCTGACTTAAATTTCTGAAAATTTGAAGACCATGCACGCGCGGAACATGACATCATATCATCACCAGAGTTTCAATGCACTGCCGCAAATTGCTGCCTAATTTGAGAAGTCGACAGACACGATACAACGTAAGCCACGGATTTGATTTGCAGTAGATAATTATTATAACAGTAGTTTCTTTTATGTGCGCATTTATGGCCAATGAAAATATTTCGAATTTTATAATTCAGTTGGATTCCTGTTTCAAGAGTCTATTGAAATAACTATGTTTAGAACAACGTTCCAAGTTCTAATGATAGTAGAAGATCCAATGTTAGCCCTGGTAGTAGATCCAATGTTAGCCCCTAGTAGTAAATCCAATGTTAGCCCCTAGTAGTAGATCCAATGTTAGCCCCAGTAGAAGATCCAATGTTATCCCTAGTAGTAGATCCAATGTAAGCCCTAGTAGTAGATCCAATGTTAGCCCTAATAGTAGATCTAATGTAAGTCCTAGTAGCAGATCCAATGTCAGCCTAGATCCAATGTTAGCCCTTGTAGTAGATCCAGTGTTAGCCCTAATAGTAGATCCAATGTAAGCTCTAGTAGAGAATCCAATGTTAGACCTAGTAGAAGATCCAATGTTAGCCCTAGTAGAAGATCCAATGTAAGCCATAGTAGTAGATCTAATGTTAGCCCCAGTAGAAGATCCAATGTTAGCCCTAGTAGTAGATCTAATGCTAGCCCTAGTAGAAGATCCAATGTTAGCCCTAATAGTAGATCTAATGTTAGCCCTAGTAGAAGATCCAATGTTAGCCCTAGTAGTAGATCTAATGTTAGCCCTAGTAGTAGATTTAATGTTAGCCCTAGTAGTAGATTTAATGTTAGCCCTAGTAGAAGATCCAATGTTAGCCCTAGTAGTAGATCTAATGTTAGCCCTAGTAGTAGATGTTAGCCCTAGTAGTAAATCCAATGTTAGCCCTAATAGTAGATCTAATGTTTGCCCTAATGTTAGCCCTAGTAGTAGATTTAATGTTAGCCCTAGTAGAAGATCCAATGTTAGCCCTAGTAGTAGATCTAATGTTAGCCCTAGTAGAAGATCCAATGTTAGCCCTAGTAGAAGATCCAATGTTAGCCCTTGTAGTAGATCCAATGTTAGCCCTAGTAGTAAATCCAATGTTAGCCCTAATAGTAGATCTAATGTTTGCCCTAGTAGAAGATCCAATGTTAGCCCTAGTAGTAGATCCAATGTTAGCCCTAGTAGTAGATCTAATGTTAGCCCTAGCAGAAGATCAAATGTTAGCCCTAGTAGTAGATCTAATGTTAACCCTAGTAGAAGATCCAATGTTAGCCCTAGTAGAAGATCCAATGTTAGCCCTAGTAGAAGATCCAATGTTAGCCCTAGTAGGAGATCCAATGTTAGCCCTTGTAGTAGATCCAATGTTAGCCCTAGTATTAAATCCAATGTTAGCCCTAGGCGAAAACACCAAAACGACACTCAAAGTATTTTGTATCATAATGCTGAATTTATATATCTGTAAATAGCTTTGAAATGGATTTCCAAAAAGCTAGAAGATATAAACTTACAGACGTAAGTAACATCGACTGGTTTCCATAGATTCTGTACACAATAATTCGTTTTTCCGTTTCCTCATTATTTTTTATTGATCGTAGTCGATCGTCAGGTCAAAGAGGGTAAAAGACTATTTTTTTAAAATTTTTTTGTACTAAACACTACACCGACTACAGTGCTACAGCGCGGCCTCTGAAGTTTCAACCAGACTTCAGTGTTTCCGTT